ATGTATATATGTATGTGTATGTGTATGTATATATGTATGTGTATGTGTATGTATATATGTATGTGTGTGTATGTATATATGTATGTATGTGTATGTATGTGTGTGTGTATGTATGTATGTGTATGTATGTGTGTATGTATGTATGTGTGTGTGTGTGTATGTATGTATGTGTTAATAACGATAGGATTACAGAAGTTTTGTAAACCATGTTTACATTTAACATGTTAACAAATGCAATTTTCACATACACAACTTACCTCGCATCTCGTACGGTTGATATTGTAGAGGTTAAGACGAAATATCCGGTCCCTTAAAGAAAAAAGAAAACATGCCGTAATAAGATTCTTTTAATCAATAACACGCCAATCCACTTATTATCATTTCCCGGGTAATTTAATTTTCTCTTGATCATTCGGAGTCTTACTTTTAAAAAATCTATAAACTAAGAAAATAATAATTACCGAATTCAAATTAGTTTACGTACTCTATGCAGGAAATAAAGATTTCGTCAATTACCAGCACAACCATGTGAAGAGTGTCGTTAACGTGGTAACACTGTTTTAAGTTATCATAACCTTTTCATATAATTACAGAAACTGCAAATACAATACTTTGTCCCAGCATACTCACCACAAGGTTATGTACTCTGCTATTCAAGGATGACAATACGTTGTCTGACCTTTATAACTGCTTGACCGTTTCAGGCATCTGCGTATAAGTTACACGAGGGCTATCTACGCTAGCTGTCCTTAAATTGGAACTTATAGACTATAGGAAAGGGTTTGGATTTCTTTTGAATTTTGCGCAGCTACACGAGGGCTATCTGCACTAACCGTCCCTAATTAATATTGAAAGACTAGAGGAAGGCAGCTAGTCATTACCACCCACCGCCAACTCTTGGGCTACAAATAGTGGGATTGACCGTCACATCTAAAGCCCCCACGGCTGAAAGGGCGGGCATGTTTGGCGGTAAGGGGAATCAAACCTGCGATTCTCAGATTGCGAGTCAAGCGCTCTAACCACCTGGTCATGCCGGGTCAAGTTTCGAGGATTATTTGTTTGTTTGTTACTAAGCGTAAAGTTACATAATGGGCTGTGTATGATGTAAACACAGCAGGTATCGAAACCCAATGAAAGGCATCTAACTAGTCAATAACAATGCCAACTACTCTTTTGTTTCTTCCTCTTTTTTGCTTTTTTTTCTTTGTTTTGTAATAACGGTTTGCGAATCATGGACCCTCGGACACACAGCCCGGTCCAAAGACAATGAGCCACGCTCAGTCCTAACCTATATAATACCTGAATATATTTTGACCTCTAAATAACTTATGTTGAAATAATAGCAATGAAACCCAACCAACTTTTTTTACTTAACTTAATCAAGATAACTTTCCAAGCTTTAAAATGGATTTAAAATGGCAGCTGACTTATCACATTTCGTTCTATACCCGATATCGAAAATTCCTCATATCTTCAAAGTGAAAAATTCGAAAGACATCTTTAAACCGCTTCACTTTTATTTTATAATCTACTGGAATCAACACATGTGTGTATTTTCTTATAGCAAAGCTATCTGCTGTGTCCACCGAGGGGAATCGAACCCCTGATTTTAGCGTTGTAAATCCGAAGACTTAACGCTGTCCCAGCGGGGGACCGAATCAACACATAAAAGTGATCTATTAAATATTTATATTACCTAACACACGGTGAACGTCCCCCCAAATAACAAGAATCGTACAAATCTGCACAATGGGCTATCTGCGCTGTACCCAGTGACGGAATCGAATCCCGAATTTAAGTGTTATAAGCCTTCAAACCGATCGCTGAGCCGACTGAGGGCTACCGCAAGCTAAAATGCCCTTATGAATTGTTTTGAAACCTACCTTTATAAACGACGGAAAACTGTTATTTTCCTTTTTGTTATGAAGTGAAAGATTAATTAATCTGCTGTAAACGCCTTTGTTTGTTTATTTTTTGTTAATGGCGAAACTACCTATGCTATCTCCCGCGTTATTTAAGTTTGAATTCCGATAGGAGGAAAAGCGTCAACGTTTTAGCTACTTTTCCCACCGCAACATTATAACGCTCACACTACTGAAAGCGCGAGCCTATTCGGCGCTGGATTTCTATCCCGTAACCCACAGATTCCGAGTCGAGCATCCTTACCACCAACCACTAAGCCTCTTGGAACACAAATATTTCCTTTAACTTAATTTACGCGCATTTTTACTTTTTTTTTACCCGTAATGATTTGGATACCGATAAATTATCATTATTATTATATTTTTTTACAATTTCTTCAATAAAATAACAGTGTAGGGAAGGGGGGGGAGCTAATTTCATTATGACCCCCGTCGCTATTGGACATCAAATAACATAATTCTCTTGGTTTAAAAGGCAAATCATCAATTTGTTTTATGTTTGTGTAATCAAAGAATATTTGAAAACATACACATAAACACTGTTGACAGTTCTTTTGTAGTGAGAATCACACACATTAACAAAACATGTGCAAATACTACTAAAACAGGCTAAACAAATATATGATCAATCACATCACAGTACAACGGTTGCGAGGATGCAAAGTGCTTTCGGTGTTCACAGTATACTGTTCTTTCACAGATTTCATAGGTTTGTTTGTTTGTTTTGAATTTCGCGCAAAGCTACACGAGGGCTATCTGCGCTAGCCGTCCCTAATTCAGCAGTGTAAGACTAGAGGGAAGGCAGCTAGTCATCACCACTCACCGTCAACTCTTGGTCTACTTTTTTACCAACGAATAGTGAGATTGACCGTCACATCATAACGCCCCCCCCCCCGGCTAAACGGAGAGCATGTTTGGTTGGATGGGGATTTGAACCCGCGACCCTCAGATTGCGAGTTGAGCGCCCTCTAACCACCTGGCCATGCCGGGCCATATTTTATAGGCATAAGTTGAGTCATTATGTGTACTCGTGATAAGTCTGCCTGGAAATGAGGACGACGTTTCGCCAGTCTTTCTGAAACTTCGCCCAGATTTAATATTTTCTAGACAGACTGTTAACTAAATGGATGTCAAAAGGTTTATTTCCCCTTACATATTACTGATAAAAAATAATAATATTAATTCAAAATTATATGAATGTTTATAGATATATGAAATAACGATGAAAACAACGATACATATGAATACATACAAATAGTTAAAAAAACGTACAATATATATATATACAGGGTGTCTATGGGGCTATGTTAAAGATATCGTGTATCGAACAAAGATACGGGACATTATTGAACTAAAGCAAAAGATAACAGATGCGATTGCAACCATTGATGAGGCTATGCTACAGCGAACATGGCAAGAAATCCAGTACCGCCTTGATGTACTTCGTGCGACTAATGGTGCCCATAGAGAGGTGTATTAAATGAGGTAAAAAACTTTGAAAAACCATTGAGTACAATAGAACAAGTCTGATAAAGATATATTATCAATTGCCTTTGTAATAATTTTTTTAAATTGTAAAAAGACTTTATGGACACCCTGTATATATAAATACAATTCTGAAAAGTCCTCTTAGAACTTCGTAAACAAATTTAGAAAGATAAAAAAATTAAATTACCACCACACACCATCAGGCATTCCAATCCACAAGTAAAAACATTGTGCGAGAGGGAATCAAACCGTAAAAACGTAAGTAAAAATGTATTATATACCTCTCCCAGTGAAGTTGTAATTACAAACCTGAATGGTTCAGAAATCAAACAGAATTCCATCATCTAGCTTAGTCGAGATTCTAACAGTTTCAGAAACATTTCATTTTTAGATCTGCTACATGCCAGACAAAAGCTCAAATCTTTAAAGACCTTGCTATAGTTCAAATTATTCACACAGGAAATCATACTGATAGCTCATCTCCGCAACGTTTTTAGCGGATCGTTATCCCTTATATAATAAGGAGCACATTCCACGTACACTGCTCCGACAAGATTATCATACAAAGTAACAGTAATCTTCTTAGCCTTAAAACACCAGGATTTTCTCAACAATCACACTAGCTTCTTCTTCCCCTCCACGTCAATCTTCTCACACGTGTAATTACTTTCAACGTTTCTGTATTTGAAACCTATCTTATTCTTTCTTCTTTTTTTTTAACTTCATCGGATGTTAACCTTTTTAACAGGCAATTCGAAATGTATTTCAAAATGCCTTTTACGTATATATTAGCATATAACCCCTCAAAAGTGACGAGGCAAGTTACTACTACCACCCCCACCCCATAGTATCCACTAACCTCACATTTCATAGCTAGCTGAATAAATAAATTTTGCGAAATCAAGCTTGACCAACAAAGAGGAAGAAAAGTGCAGTCGAGACAGTCAAACGTCAGTAAATTCCTTTTGGTAGAAATGAATTAGATTAACAACTTATAATATATAGAAAATCCAGTGCGTTTTGGTAACACTTCATTCCAACAGGCTTTTATGTCCTGTTGCTTAGCAACAGGAGTATAACCTAATATTATTGTTAGTCTGTCTACTGGAAGTATAAAATGAAATGTATAGACAACAAAAC